CCCCCAAAATCGCTTTCACTTTCCACTTCCACCTGCAAAAGGTCATAAGAGCAAATAAAAATGACGAAAGACGTACGCACCTTGATCAAGTTAAAATGTACAGCGAAAATCAGGGTCAAAACAGCAGCTGTCAAGAAAAAACCGATCTTATCTCTCAAGCGATACTCGCTGCTCGACTGTTCCGACCTCGCTTTCTGTTCTTCCATCTCGTTGACAGCTTTCAGGCAAACTTCGTTCCAATATTTCACCGACAACGTGTGAGCACGCTTGTCTATCAAACAATACGTCATTCGTAGTTGATGCAAAATCACAGGGAACATATTTACAGAATGGCTTAAACTACCGTATGTACGAAAAGTGCAAATAAATCAGATTTGCGTTATAAATGCACCAAGGAAATCAGTTTGTGTACCGCTGGAGAAGAGAGACAAAGGCAACCATTAAATCGATAAAAGTTTTAGAGGCTGAACGATACAAAAAACATCATATGCACATCATTAAGACGCAACGATTATGGCAATGATCATCAAGAATGAACTGCCAACAGGAAAACTCTAAATCGATCAGAGGCATCTCGTTGGATTATAGGCTATGAAAAAACCTGTACCAAAAGAAGGTCGAATTCTGTCGGACATGCTGTGTGCTGCCATCAACGTTGCCGGATCATCTCTTCTACTGGCGGCAGTAAGGAAAGAATCGAGCACCACTCCAATTAATCTCTGCACCAAGTTGAGTAAAAATTGCCTTAAGGCGTGTGCTCACCTTTTAGACAATGGATTCGTGGAGAGACTGGTGGAAGAACTGAACGATATTTGACAGACGTTGTCCGGGGATGAAAAGAAACCGACACCCTTCGGGACATTTGAAGGGCCAAGGCTAAGAAATCTGGCGTTGTGGAATTTTCAACATGTACATTTATATAATCGCTGATAACACAGGAAGACATCTGTAATTCATTTAAAAGTGACGGAATCGATGCTAGGGAATTTCAACAGAGCAACAGTTAACATTGCCGAGGACTTTTGGCAGTTGGGCTAAAAGAAAACAAACGCAGCGTTGATAATGCTTCAGCCACCTTTAACGAACCTTGTAAAGAGTAAAGAGCAGCTTGTACAACGGGGTCGGTGTTATCTGCTGCCGCCTACTGAAGCAGAAATCACCATAGAGCTGCATTCCAGAAACAGGCACATTAAGGAAGAAGACTGCCCATCGACCGCCATCCTTCACTATCCTGAATATTGTTTGATTACTCCTGCCACATGCGATAGCTTAGAGCTCTGTCATGCTTATCGTGTGGTACATCAGGATCGTAGTTCTTCACGACTCAGGCTATATCACAAGCCATTTTTACTTTTCGCACAATCTCTAAGCCAGATCCTTCTTACTTTCGTGAAAATTTATTGATTCAAAACTTAAGGGAATGTAAAAATTATTCAAATTACGTTAAGCACTATCCTAACCATTCCGGATTTGCATAGCGTAGAAATCCCCTTGTTCCTAGTAGCCTAAACAACCGTTTAAACAGGTCACAGATTCAATGAATGGATGCAAACCGTATCAACGTAAGGGTAGAACAAAAATCCGTTCTGATATGTGCCGAATATATCAATCAAATTATTAGTTTTCAATACCACGAGTAAAACATCTTACTCTTGGGATTTACACTGTTTAGCTGCGCAGTTGCCCTATTGTTAGTGGTCTAAACGGTTCCGAAAGCAATTAGAGCAATATGACGTTATAACCGTTATGGTTTCGTCATTCGCTGACTTGTGAAGCACATTTTGCATATTACTTTTCTGGAGCACCAGAATTTTGTTTCATGTTTAACCTGTGAAAAAACTACACGCATTGAAGCACGCATGGTCAACAGAAGTCCGAATATATTACAGTACAGGTTGATAAATGTCAACGTAAATACCCGCTCCAGTTATCGGCAAGTACGCCGTGCTAATGAGATCAACGAACTTCGTCAGGTTGTCGCAGTACTTCAAGTGATCCCTAAGCGGATTGTGCACGAACGGCACACGAAACAACGGCGCCAATAAGCCATAAACGATTGCATCAATCGAAGCAGGACTAAAAACCAAAAATGTAGGCATATGCAGCAATTGTGGAAAATAATCAAGGAAAAACGATACAGCGCCAAATCAGCATTTTTTCATAAGAGATACAAGACATATTTCGACCAATGTTCACCCATTTTTATCAGTCACTGGCTGAAAGAATCAGGGCGCGTTAGGTAATAATCATATCACATCATCTGATGAAAAATACGCTAATATCACTGAACGAGAAAAAACATCTGTCGATTATACTTCTGCGCAACGAAACAAAGTATGCAGCTACATTTCCGGTTCATCTAACAGTCTTTAAAACCAGGGTTAAGACCCATCTAGTTCACGGGCTTTCATTTGGGGAACCGTCTACGGATGACCATACCGCGGTTGGGCAAATGCAACATTTTATCAGATGTTCACTTATAAGTAACAAACGTATTTAACATATGAATTTATAACAAAGCATAAAAACTCTGCCACTGTCGTCCCAAGTTCAAATGAAAAAAAAGGAGGGCTGAGGACCAAGGCGAGGTCATTCGTAAAACTTAACTACCTTCCTCACATGACAATGCCGTCGTCGAACTTTATACTGGCTCGATCATCGCCCGGGTTACCAAGGGCCGCGCAGGCTACTGGGGAACTGAGGCACACCGCAGAAATTAGGCAAACAGAACCTGTTTCTCGCTTTCTGGCAGCTACGGGCGTAGAAACACAACAGCTGTCGAAGGTCGAAAAAACTACGAAGATACTAGTCAGCAAAGGAGCCGCCATCCTTTGTGAACGGAGAAGGCAGATAGCGCGATGCCATTATACCACGTTAGACAAGGCTCCACAACAAGGATAACGGCAGTGTGAAAAGTCAGAAATCAGAAATGGGAACATCTTTTCACTAAGAGGGAAATGGCAGGAACTAGCTGATGAGGCCGCAAACGAAGTGAAAGGGTTTTGGAATTCTGAACCCCTGCATGTGAAAGCAATTCTCGAGTGTCGACTTCATAAATGAAAGCCTGTCAGGGGAAAATTGAGTTCCAAGGGAGAATAAACGGCTCCCGATCGATGGCAGGATGAACATGTTCGCTGTATCAAGATGAACGAATATGTAAGAAAACTGAGGTCTACAGCGAAGAGTTTCATTTTTGGAGGCTTTTATCCGGAAGTAAATCGACAAAAGCTGATGAACCTCAGGTACGTGAGCAAATCAGAAAACATCTCAAGAGCATTTGTCGTAGGACCTGACTGGCATGAATCTGGGGTTGTTTTATTTAAGAATGTAGTTAAAGAATTTAGTTTACGGCGCCAAGGGCAGAGAATGCGATAACATATACATTGGAAAGACCTACCGTAAATTGAACATCCGAAATCGAAGACCATAATCTGCATTTCACCTCAGACGGGCTGACAATTCTGGTATTTTGCGACACAACCTTTCTCAAAGACACCCATTTAGAATGAGGAATGTGACCGTAATCGAAAAGGACCAGTTAGAGATTGGCCCTTTGATAAAGAAGTCCCTATTTCTTTTGGTGATAAAATATCGTCTATTCAATGAGTACTCTTCCTCTGATGTGATAAATGAAAGCTTAGGTGATTTCACCAACTTGTTTATAAAGTTTGGAATGGCGCATGGAGTTCCTTGGATCAAACCTAGAAGTTAAAGGTACGAATATGGTGGTTAAAAACTTATGTTCATCTGCCACTCACTTTAAGTCGATGTATTTTGTATATATAAGACGGCTTATTGCTGGCCATATAAGCTGTGCCGTGATGACGCTACGGCGTGCGTAACGAAGTGCGTTGGTTAAAATGTTACCATCTACATTATTGGATTCGCTCACACTCAATCGGCAAACCATTTACAATACGATGTTGAATATTCTAATTAACGAATCAATGAATTTCCTGACCAGAAAAAGAGGATACCTCACAGTCACATGATAACTGTACTCATGCTACAACCAGGTGTCAAAAGCAGTCGCCTTTAGTGCAGAAACAAATGGTGCCAGATACAGAATATAAAAGAAAACGATAGAGCCGCTGAAATATAAAAAAAATAAAATCTGGCTTTAATTTTCCTTATGCAATGGCTATGATTGTTCATTTCTTCAAACCATTGAGCTATTTAAATTAACAGCGCATGCTCAGTCACATCGATCAAAACTTACTTTTTTCAACTTTGCTAGCAAAAGGAACAATATCCCAGTACAATATGAACTAACTATTTCTTTGTGTGTCGCGTTTTACTTCAATTTCAATCACAAATCAACTTCCAGTTGTTTCTAAGTTATATCGTAGATCGGTAGCTGCTGCGAAGAAGGTAATTTTTCTCGCTGAAGCAGGTCTGCCTCAATAAGACGTTTCCGAGTTCTGTAATTTGCTCCAACGCATTTACGACCAGTGGATGACACTTACCAGAAAGAACCACTCACCAGCTTGATATTCGCATTCTGGGCCGTTTTATCACACCAAGAAACACCTCTAGATTTTTCTGACAATTTTTTTTAGACAGGTCCTCAACATGTCCTCATTCATCAGCCGAAGGCAGCACCATTCCGCTTTTGAAGATACTCTATACTGGGCGTCGCTGGAAGCGTTTGACGTTTGAAAATTGTAGAAATTTCCAGGCTGTATAAGAGCACCCTGAAATGCGTTACATTCAACCAATGATGCCCTCTTCTCCAACATCAGGAAAGAAACCCTCGGCAATCTTTTAAATTCTAGCGTCGTAACAGCAATGTTGTATGGGTGTAAACCATGCACACTCTCAAAAGACGAAAAGCGCTTGCCATCCGCCCCTAAGAAAGCCTTGAAACAAAGAATGTTGAAATCTCACGTTGCGACCATTATCGCCAACACGATGATCCGGCACTGACGGAAGTGAAAGATACCGTCGTCAAAAGCAAGAAGTTTCGTCGAAAACATAACTCGACTCCCAGATGGGAAACACTCGGCAATGATCATCGATCGGTACCCTCCGGGGAACCATGCAACGTGGTCGCCCACTATGACGGTGGCAAGATTACATCAAATGTCGGGAAGGCAGCGATTAGAAGGAAAAGATCGAAAACGTCAGCATTCGAAGTGTGATGGCCGGTGCGATTCGTGGCCGACTGAAGTGATCTGCTAATATGTGCACGGAGAACAAAGCTTTCTTCAGGAAGATGATCTTTGTTGCTGTTCTTCTAGTTCGATCTGTCCGTATTTCATACATTTTCCGATGAAGCCGTTTGTGTCAGTTCAACGCACCAAATAACAATACTTCAGGAGTAATATCCGCCTGATTCGTCAAAACTGTTCCAACTTGTTCCTCTTAAACTTGGTCGTTGAGAACGCTCTGAATTGCACACTGAACTTATTGAACAGTGCACTGCTGAAACAAATAAAAAACACTCATCTGTGGAAATTTTTGGAAAAGAGTTCAGTCAGTAGAGCATCAGACGCACAATTGACATATCATGGCTCGGAGCTACAGTCGGATCACGATCACGCTTGCCTTTCATCATTATCAGTAAGGTAAATGATTGCGGCATCACTCTGTGACAATGAAGCAGACTACCACATGCGTTATCTGTTACAAGGATGCAGAAATTTCCCTCAAAATAAGGTCCTGACTCATGACAACGACACAAAAATCAGCGCTATATCGAAAGCTAAGTGAAAAAGGGTGCCATGAATAACGCCAATCGCGTGGCCCTCCGATACCTTAAGGTAATATGATACTCCAAATAGCAAATGATCAAAAGCTTTCATTCTCCCTTCATCATCACAAAGATCCTCAGTGGGAGGAAGTTCCACAGTAAACTAATTTAATTGTGTGCGTAATAACACGTGAACAGTCGTTACCCCGTAAGTAACATTCATACTTGTTGCAAGATACAGTTTTTGGACATGCATTAAACAGGTCAATGCTTCATCGCGCATTACCGCATCGACAGTATATGTTTATGCAACAAGAGAGCCAGTAAACCAAAATCGCGTACCTGTCACTGATAAAAAAGCATTTGTCACTGAGCCGTCGCGACAGGTCATTAATACAGCATATCGCGCTCTTCATTATCTGAAGGAACCCATATCAATGACATGTTACTACAAAACGTCCGTTAATCGGACACTCACAGATTCCTGCATCAGTTGAGGTGATGAATATTCAGTACCAGTAATTGCAGTGATTTGATTCAGTGAGCGACGACGCAAGGTCGCCGATATGATACCTCCATGAACAGCCCCGAAATGCTTCGCAAACCATGGCCGAGTGATGTACTCGTAATTTGCTTCATCAACCCAGCAAGTATACAACTAAAAAGGCAAAGAACCTGAACACTAAGTCATAAGCAACAGTCGGGATACAAAGAACTCAATTCCTGCAATGCGTTTTGTTGGACACGCGATATATTGATATTGACCCTTGTACAGTGAGTTCGAGGTCGTTTTATCCAATAAATAAGTGTTCACTCTTCAGTATTTTCGATGTAGTGTCAGGCACAAGTAAAAAGAAATTAAATTCCTCCCGTAGACTACAGCACGAACATATCAGAGGCTGTGATTTACAATTAAGAGTAAACAAAACATTAGGCAACACAGTCTCAACAACGAGAAGCTTAGGGAGCGACAGTAGACTGTTAAAAAATTCGAAATTCGACTCCCAAAACGGATCCCTATAAAAAATACAACAAGAAGTAAAAAAGGTAGACGGACAAAAACCTCGTCAAAATGATCAGCTTTAAAAGTTATTGTTACATTCGACAACAGACATACGTAGACCGGATACAAGTTTTTCTGAACATAGGTTTCTAACGTGTCCGTTTCCATATCGTCTGCTTTACCTTCATCAAGCTCCTCAACCGTACTTTCCTAAAGAAAAAAATACCAGGTCAAATGCATGTTAACACTGTCTGGCATCGTGTCTACAATAATTAGCAGCAACAGCATGCACCGCTATTTAGAAAACTGGTCTAACGGGATTTACTGGGATATAATAGGATGTAACATGGTAACTATCTCATCATGTACTACTATTTACTATCAGTATCCCAATTCACCGTTAGACGTAGGCATATCAACTTCATTCACCCGTTTCGCTAGTATTTCATGCATGATGGATATATATAGCTAGCGAATTAGCCTGTTTATCGTGATTTAGATGTTTCCTAGACATTTTTTTAATTCTTGAGACTAATTCAAGTGTTCTCACTGTCCAGATTATCACCTCTATTTGAGTCATACTAAGAACCTTGCAATTTTAATCCTTCAGTAAACAGTCATCTCATAATACCACTCGTTTTACTCCGAAACCTTATTGTCATTTTCAATGCATTATGTAGTTTCTGGATGCGTTCGGAAACAACTTCATATCCAAAAGTAAGTGTCATATGCAGCGACCGAAAGTCTTTCATTTCAGCAGAAGCACTATTTCAGAATAACAGTAAGCTTCCAAAATATGTTCCAGGACATTACTTGCGAACTCGTTTAATTTATAAAGCTGAATTTCCTTACCTCAGATAAGCTGCTTCCTACCTCAGGTAAACATAGGTGTCGACTACGTCAACCTTCGTGTCATTTGTTTGATGACAATCATGAAAATATATGCCACATTTCTACAGCTAGTAATCTACACATGCCTTTGCACCAAGATCAGAAATATGAGTTCGACCACAAGGTGTCAGTCAGTATCTCCACGAAACTGCAAACATTTCTGTAGTGTCACCGCTCACCACTGTTAATCGCACTGGGAGCCATTCAAACAAGTCAAACGATTCAAAAATTGCAACACTCGCACTGCATAAACACTCTTCAAGAAAGATGTTTCGTTAAGTAACCAAATGAGGTGACTAGCATCATTGTACTGGTGGAAAACGAAGATCCTAATACTAATGTTCTAGGCATCCAGAAAGAAGGCAGCATGGTACCACCATTAAACCTGATTTGGTGGAGTTGCGTGATTGTTAATGTACTCATATATGATCTAAAGTTCGGCTAAGCATATTGGGAGAGCATATCATTCGATAAGAGTTAGTGAAAAAAAGGCAATGCTGAATAGAGCATCGAAAATTGTTCATGGTTGCATCCGCAATACCAAATTAGTTCGATAGAAAAACTTTAATAATAAGTATCGTCCCTTCCGTAGACATACAACCCATTCAAATTTCAGACCGATGAGTTCGTTAGAAAATACACTAGATCCCATGATCTTCTGCCCGTAAGCCAGAGTCAGTCAGGTTGTTATGTAACCTAAGAAGAAACCCGATATTCACATAGTG